CCCAGGTTTGAATTAGAATCCGTAATTTCCCGAGTGTATAGACCATGAGTTACGAAACTAGGCCTGCAAACAGCGTTCGGCATTGAGACGGTTGCTCACTGTTCGACTGCTCGCAATACGTCTCACTTCTCCCATTATCTATACGGGCCCCGTGACGCACTTCTCGTAACTTAACACGCGTCAAGTACATACACCTCGTTTCCGACCATATGTCAGAAATGGCGACCCGGTTCTCGCTCGCGTGTCAACATTAGAAGAAGAAAATAGACAAGATCACGTCACTCAAGTTGCCTGTGGGCCACAGACACCGCACATAGGCAATACTTTGCAACCTTCTGATCACCGTAGTCACGTGCTGTTTTGCAACTCTTAGAAGAATGGATCGTGGATTCGAGTCCCACTCGTAGCATGTATATATGGTCGCGACTTCTTTCTGTATCTATGTCGTCATCCATAGACAAAGGTCTTACGATGAGCCGAATTCTACCGGCCGTCCGTTTAAATTGCTGCTGCTGGCTATTACCAGCAGATCTATTTCAGAAATACAAGGGTTGGATAAAAAGTAGTGGCAACACTGCTGTAACATGAAAGATGTGCGTCAGGTGGCACTAGCGCCGTCTGTAGCTGATAGCAGAAGTTCAGTTGAAGTAGTGCAGTGAGTGGCTCTGGTTGTGTTTCATTGGGTTGCATTGTGCATCGTCTTGAAGTGCAGGAGCCCAGTTCAAGCGCCCTAAGAACATGTTTACGAAACAAGAACAACGTTCCTGGATAAAAACTGAATTTGCACGAGGTCGTAGTGCACAAAATTCTTATCAGGGACTGCGAGAAGCATGTGGTGATGCTGCTTTGCCATGTCGCACATTGGCACGAAGGCTGAAATTGTTCTGTGAAGGGAGGGATGCCATTCAGGACGACCCCATGTTGACAACCACACAATTCATCTTCTTGCGTCTTTGCTGGATGTCGACCGTCGATGGGCGACGTGGGAGTTAGCTGCTGAGGTAGGCGTATGTCACAAAACCGTGCTCCACATTCTGCACGATATTCTTGGATACCGAAAAATTGCAGCGCGTTGGGGTACCCCATACAATGTCCAAGGTGCAACAATGGCAACATTATGCAATTGCGCAGGATTTGTTTGACCGGTACCAGAGGGAAGGTGACGACTTCCTTGGAAGGATCATCACTCTGGACGAAATTTGAACGAACGAACCGCACTTGAAGCGACAATCAAATGAATGGAAGCATCCTGGCTCTCCTAGTCCAAAGAAAGTGCGCCCTACACAGAGTAATGTGAAGGCGATGTTCACTGTGGCATATGATACTGATGGAGTGATACTGCACCACACTGTACCTCAACGACAGACAGTAAACGCTGCCTTCTACTGCAATTTCCTGCGTAATCATATTCGTCCAGCACTCAGGAGAAGCGACGACACTATGCTAATATTTTGAGTTTGATTATTCTTCAAAAAAAATCTTCAGTCGTGTGAAGCCTACAGTAACTCCGCTTTCGATGAAATATTGGAGTTAAACAAGAGAAATTTCAACCGCGTGTTGATCTATTCGAGCACGAACAATGTCTTCATTATTTTAGGAGCTGTTTATGAAGAAAGGACTAATTTTCTGTGGAGGTCATGTCTGTCTCTCTGTCTGCCCATCAGTCA